ATTGCTCTAAAATTGGACTTGAAGCTAATGAATAGTTTTATATTAGCAATGAATGTGATGAAATAGAGGAGGTGGTGTGACCCACAGAAGTTTTTTTTTTTACCATATTTTAACTCTTGTTTTGGGTTTCCAGCCTCTAACTTTACAGTTTTAGTTCAGTCTCACCTCTCTTGTCATTTCCAGGCATATGTTTTTAGTGAAAAAAAGAAAACCCAGTATACACTACCTGCTCAGCGCCAAACAACAGACAAAGTCAGTGACTCGCTGGTAAAGAAAGTGGCGCTTTCAGCCTGCTTTAGAGACATATATTTCTCTCAGGGGATGGTGGAGATCAAAACTAAAGTTAATTCATTAATTCATCAAATGCCAAGAAACAAGTGAATATTAATGTTAATTTATGTCTGCCAGTTTTGTAAATAAGCCAGTGTTTGCTAAGTTTGCCTTAACTTTATAAAGTGTCAATGTTGTGTTTACAGCTTGTTACGCTGCCTCCAAATGGCCAGAAAATCAATTATTGTAGGTTTAAGTATCCAGAAGTCATGTAATTTGACATGCACCATTTACCAGCGCTAAGCACACTCTTGTACAGTTTACAGTGTGTGATAATTACATGGGACAAGATGTCTTTTTCTGACTGGATCACTCTCTAACTAAGAAGGCAGTTTGTATTGATTACTTCCTGTGGGTAGAGACAAGTTCTTGCCATTGCCCACACCCAACACCAGAGTTTAATTAGGGCAAAGAAGGCAGATTTAGAGAATTTTACTTAGAGGGGGTGAGACGCTATTGAAAAATATGTGCTGCTGCAAACAGCATAGGGAAATGCTATATATTAAAGTACTGTGGGAACAAGGTATTACTGGTTTATAGTAATTGTTATACATTTGCTGAAGAGGTCACTTGTGAGGATAGCATGTTACATAGCATTTATAGGATTTTATTACTTTTCAAATATGTGTTATTAGACTTATGTCAGCATAGAAGTAGCAAGTCTTGTCAATATGTCCATTAACATGCCGATTCGGATCAGAAGTATAATCACTTTTCCATTTCATCTGTAACAAGGGTGAAATAATCTAGAGCTAATCTATAACAGGCAAATCCAATCAGTGAAGCCATTGTCTGTCGTCATTTGAAGCCCTGCCAGATTTTGATCTTCATGACAGTAAATTGATTAGCAATGATCTACTGGGCCCTCATAAATGCTGTAATTGGGAAATCAGTTCATGTCTTTGCCTTAAAGCTGAGGTTGTGGTTGAGTTCCTACTATCTCCCTGCTCTCCTCTGTGTACGGATCAGTATCAATGCAACACAGACGCTGGTCGCTGTTTCTGCCTGCTGCCTTCATTAAGCTAAGCTCGGCCTCCGACTGTTGAAGCTCCCCGGCGTGTGCAGACAGACTTACAGGAGCAGTGAGGATGGGGTCGCTTGCAAATATGAATTTAATTAAATGTGACTCACAGAAGACAAAACCACTTGAATTTGAAGGAGAAAAAGGTCAGGTGTGGATCTAGAAGTTGCCCCACCTCCTCCACTTCTCCATTTACTACCCCTGCCTCACACACACACACATGCATCTGTACGCCACACACACACACACACAGCGCATGGGGGGGAGGAAGCAAAGTGGGTGGCACCTGATCCTTTCAATCATCCTGGTTGCAGTTGTGATTAATGTAAAGTGGTTCTTTTTTACAACACAAATTGCCATGGCAGATGGGAAGGAAATAAAAAATGTCTTCTGCTGTATGTCCGACCGCAAGGGCAAACACAAAAAGAGCTTTAATGCGAGGAGACTTAATATGGAGTTAAAAAGCATTAGAAATGCATTTGCTGCCTGAGATTGAGCACTTTTATCTGAAATCCTATGGCAAAGATTATTTAAAGTCACAGTTTATTTAATGACAAGAGAGTCTTTGTAATGCTGTCAAACTTAAAGGATTCTTAACCTTGAGTAGTCCCCCGTGCTCTAATCCTCAAACCTTATCTACGCTTGTATTTTGACTCAGTCAGTGGAGTTTCACATAGTTGGTGTTTTTTTTAGTTTTTTTTTTTTTTTTAGTTTTTTTTTTAAGGGAGCAGCGTGACGGGTTTTGTTTTTTCAAAGCTTATTATTCCTCTTTGAGGACATTAGTAGTTTTGAGTTAAAGTTCAATAGATATCGAACGCTAACAAAGTGCCTTTTTCTGCTGCTTTGCTGTCTGCTTATCAGTCCTGTTTCAGCTCTGGCTTATTGTGGTGTGTGTGTTAAATAAATAAGAGAACCATTCAAACCATTGTGCTTAAGGTCAGGAGCAGTCAATTAATTAGCTCCTTCATTTTTCCCTTCCTTTTATCTCTTCTCCAAAACATGCATTAGCCTGCTTACCTTTGATACCCTGAAATGTTTATCTTTCTTTCTCTCCACTGCTGCCCTCATGCTTCCACTTTACCGGGTTTCCTCACTTTCTTCACCATATCCGGGCCAGAGGTCACATCTTACAGCTCCTGTGAAATCCATCATAGGTCAAACCTTTCAGATACTGAGCGAGGCTGTGTGTTTATGTGGTAATACGCAGCTGACAGGCCAATGCACGCTGAGGACGAGCTTTCGTTTCTTTATTCCCACTGACACAAGGAATTAATTGGTGCAGTCCGTCAGGCTTGTCGTCGTCGCTGTGAATGTATTCATTGCAGATACACGAGATCTTTCGGTATTAATAAATAGTTCTGTAGTGATGCTGTTGTAGCTGGTGTTAGGGTTCACAGGGGAGAGTGACAGATTTAGACAGGTTGACAGGAAAACGATGCAGAACAGAGCGACTAAGCGAGTTTGTACCTGGAAATGTTCAGAGTTGTACATGTGCCTCGAAAAAAAGGCCCCATCTTTTATTCATGTTCTGTTGTCGAGGTGTCAAGAGTTTTGTCAAGCTTCTCACTGTTCCGTTAACCTTGTCCCTGTGAAACGTTCTGTCTCTATCTCTTTGGTTAAACATTACTGCCGGGCGACACGGGGGGCAGAGAGAGGGAGGAAGGTATGAAAGAGGGAGGAAAGGATTGAGAGAAAGAGCCTCTGCTGCTTCCCTTCATCCTTTCATCATTAAACAAACATGGCCTCTTACCAAAAAGAGTGCAAGAAGAAAGCAGCGCCATCAAGACAGAACAGGCACAGCGAGAGAGGAGGAAGAAGAAGAGGGGAGAATGAGGATGAAAGTGGTGAAGCAAAGAGATGAGGATGGAGGAGGGGAGACGGGGGAGGAGGCAGATACCTGTGTGCAGAGCAGAAAGGTGTGCAGTAGTCCATCATCTTCAGACAGGCAGACAGGGCTGTCTGGGGAGTTTATTTTTACCTCGATATAAGAGTGTGGATCGGCTACAGCAGCCAGGAGCGGAGGCTATAGGACAGCTGCTGTCCCGCTGTGACCATGTTTCACGCATGACGATACACAATCACACACATGCATCATCACACACAGACACACCAAGCTCAGCTTGTGCTGTGGCATGCTTTAACTTTAGTTTTGTGTTATTGTGTCTTTATGTGCACAAGGTGAAACGATTTGTCAAGTAATCAATTAGTCAATTCAAAGAAAATTCCTCTGCAATTTTTTTTGTCATTGTTCGTGCATCAATGCCAAACATCCGTTAGTTGCCTCGTCTTCAATGTGAGAATTTGACTTCTCTTCATCTATAATAGTAAACTTTGAATCTTTGGGTTTTAGAGTTTTCTGACATTTAAAGACAATGATAAATTGATTGATTAATTGGCAGATTAATCTGTAATGAAAATAATCCAAAATTGAAGCCCTTTATGACCAAATATTATCATAAATGTGCTTAGTTAACACACTTGAGGTCCCGTTTTACGTCAGTACACCATCTTCTAACTGAGCATGTATTTTTCTAATATATACATATGCGGTACATCTCGGGAATATGAAAGCAATTACTAATCGCAGAAATCTGCCACTTACCTGGTTAATATTGATTTTAGAGGAAATGTGAGCATCAAGCACAAATATGCCTGCTCATTGCCGCCTTGGTTAAATTGATTACAAACAGCTTATGATTCATACAAAGTGACTGAATGTTGTTTCACCAGACTGCTGTCCAAATCTACAGGGTGCTGTTAGGAGTCAGTGTGATCTGCTATTGATCTCCTATGGATCAATGTTTATCTTGTATTTATTGACCCAGCAGATCATCTCTCTCCCCTCTTATCTAAGTTCCTGTTAGTACCAGCACAGACACACTAGGAGGAGAATTGATTAACAAATCAAGCCTGTAATTAATTCTTACTGTGATCAAAGCCATGGGAGGAAGCCTGTGGAGAGCCTGAGGCACAAGGGTGAGGTGTTTTACACTGCGATCCCACCAAGTGTGCTCCTATCACCACGCTGTTTGTTCTTCAAACAGGTGGGTTTTAGACTTAGCATAACGTTGGGTGAATTTCAAATGTCTTAAAAGGTTGTCCTGACTGTTGCTTGGCATTTGGGAGATGTATTAGTGCTCCTAAGCTGGTGTGTGTCTTTCTGTTTCTCATGAGATTTGTAACGGACTGTGACGCCCTCACACATCACTGCACATGGTTTCTTGGAGCTCTTTTGCAATTCGTATCCATGCGTAGGCTCCTTCATCTTTATTTTAAGAGCATCCTGTGAGAAACTCCCTCTTAAATAGGGATTCATCTTAAATATGGAGTGGGAAGTTTATTTGTCTTAGGTCACACAAAGCAGTTGTTTTCTGGCCCCAAAGTTGGAACTTGAAACTTATAAAAGCTCAAAATTAGGGATACGTAAGGTTAATCCTTGGCGGATTTCAAATGCTTAGTTTTTCTCAGTCTTAACTTTCTTACTCTTACTGTACATTTCTCTTACTCTTACCCTCACTCCTTATAATGTTACATTTTCTCGTATGTTTTGCCTGCTTTTTATTCACCTAACATCACATGTCGCCTGTTTGGATCTTGATGAAGAAACTGACTAATTTCCTCCCACTGTGTTCTTTATCTTTATGCACAGGTTAGCTCTGTACGTGTACGAGTACCTGCTGCATGTAGGAGCGCAGAAGTCTGCACAGACCTTTCTCTCAGAGGTGAGTCTGTATGTATTTGTGTCTGTCAGAGTGTACAGCCCATGTACTTTATGTGTTCACTCCGACATGTGGCCTGGCCCTAATACAATGTGTCCAGTAAGTGTAGCGGCAAATCGAATTAGTCTGGCCTTACAGTGCTGAGCACACAGGTTAGTAGCAGCAGACAGGCTTTTTAACATTAGTGTTGCATTTAGTGGGACTGGAGCCGGAGTACAGGGAGAGTTACGACGCTCAGCCTGGAGCTGACGTCTTCAACTGACATCATTTACTGATCCGCTCAGCAGCTCCATCTCAGTCAATCTCTTTCTATCTCATTCTCGTCCTCTCTGATTCCTCCACTTTCTCGTTGTGATCTCTCTCTGCTCTCTACTCGATCTATCCCTCCACTACTCTTCCCGAGAAGAGAGCTTGTCCTCACTTTAATTCTGCAGAGGTAAAAAGGTGCTGGGGTGGAAATGAGGTCGTTTACAATGTAGGAGACAGAGGATGGAGGCTGGTTGTACAGCGGCCAGAGGAAGAGGAGAACAAAGAGAGGGGGATGGGAAAGGTTACATCATCAGCTGGCACCAATTCTCATCAATCCGACTTGGTGTGTGTTCGCGCACATGTGCATACACACAACGCTCTGTCTCTCCGACACCCTTTCCTCTCTTTCTTCGGCAGAAGCGGCAGATGAAAGCATTTGGCGGTGTCTCATTCAAGTGTAGGAACGTATTAGCTAAGAGTGCAACAAGTATAAACACACCCTCTTGTCTACAGTAAAACATGTGTGCATTCATGAGCACGCAAGCACACATAGCGTAAACATTACCCCATAATGTAGCTCTTGCTGGAGTAGTGGGGTGGAGTAAAACATGGTTTTAAAGGCCTGTTATCCACTTTTTATCATCCACATCTGTTTACAATGTATCCTCAAGCTCAGGAAACAAGAGCCCAGAAAGATGAAGACGAATACCTGAACATAAATACTAAGAAGAACAGGCAACAAGAAACGATGCAATCCTGTCAAACTAAACTGACATCTCAACAAAAATACACTTAAACCATAACACAATACATGAGGAAAATACAGTAAAATATAGTTGAAGTTTATTTATCTAGGTAAAAAGGTAAACCGTAAAGCTATGGCTTTCCTAAATCTCAGTTCTCAGTGCAATAAGAGCAGCCCCTGCAACACACAGCCAACATCTGCCAGTAATCACGCTAAAAGGCATGTCACTCTAGCATGGTGAAGGTAAATGAACGAACCTCCCAGGAGTGCAGACCACAAGAAGACAGGATATGCGGGCGCAGTCAATTCTATTTTCTTCTACGCTTTCCAGATGAAAGGGGGAATAAAAGAAACGAGCTAAAACGTGTCCTGACCTGAACTGTCTGCAACCGTGTTTGGGCTGAGATACAGCCATTTGAATGTGAGAAATGAAGGATGTCATGCCCATTCTGCATTTGTCATATGGAAACCACTGGCTGCCTATAATGTCTCAAGTTAACCAGTGTCTTAACTAGAACTGCTAACTTTGACTGAAAGCATGTGGGATAAACACAGAGGCAGTTCCTGACCCCCGCCCCCCAAAAGCAAACCTCAAAGCAAGGCATTCCTTCTAAAAGTCACTGTGTGATCTGCAGCTGAGGTCAGGACGGTCTGATTAAAAGGGATTCAGCTGTTCCTGTTTTTTTTTAGCGTTTGTTCGTAGAGCAGGTGGTACAATAGTCTTACTCTTTTACCCATATGAAACATTTCAGTGGAGGAAATTAAAAAGCGGATCTTGAGCTCTCTTTAAAAGTCAGAGTAATGTAAGGCTGTTTATAGAGGGGAGAGGCAGACTAAATAATAGTGTCATACTCTGATAGGAGCCCACAGCTGTGTGTGTGTGTGTGTGTGTGTGTGTGTGTGTGTGTGTGTGTGTGTGTGTGTGTGTGTGTGTGTGTGTGTGTGTGTGTGTGTGTGTGTGTGTGTGTGTGTGTGTGTGTGTGTGTGTGTGGTATCTGCACATCAGTTGACATTGTCTGCTCACATAAATCATCCCTTCTGTGGGTGATGTCAGCGCTCATGTTAGTCACTAACCTTGACCAAGGTGTTAAGGTGTCAAAATGATTCAAGTGTTTCTTCCCCCACACTTTTTATTGGTACTCTGTTTTGGGTGATTTTAACAATTTGCCAAGCCCCATCCCCTTAGTTACTGTTGCTACATCTGTCAATCGTTTTGTTTTGCGTATCATAACGGTGGCAGATTTACCACTCGAAATTCATAATAGCCTAATGTTTAATGCAATGGGTCCCTGATTTCAGACAGATTTCCATAAGTTTCCATACTTATTTTGGTATTTAAATTATTATTTAACTGTAGTGACAGAAGACACTTGTTTGTTCTTTTGCTTTGTGTGTCTGAAAGGCAAAAGTAGTTTCTCATTTCTAGCCAGCAGTCATTTAATTTTGTCAACTGATATGTCAATTGTTCCTAGCAGATTCTTTCAGCGATAGCTAGTTCGCTTATTAAGCTAACGTTAGCTTCCCGAGTTGGTCTCATTAGCTTAAATACAGCGCTGAAGCAAGACAGATGAATGCTTTACTGTTTGTATTTTCCTCTTGCTTGTAAACAGAGCTGCTATTGTTACCCTAAACTCTGATCAGTGTTTTCAGATCAGATTTTCGCCCAATCACAATTAAAATCCCACCCAATTCAATAAAAACAGCCAGACTTATAACTTTGCATAAAGTCGTGTAAAACTGTAAATCCATTACATGCACAGTGGAAAAACACATCATAAACATACAAAGCTTCATATCTGCATCAAATAACCAAAGATAAAATGTTAGATAAGTAGACTATCGCAACCTGCAAAGAGTGCATTTATACAACCAAATACACAAGTTGCCTCTTCAATGTCAATCATGATGAAATCAAAGTTAGTAGGTCCTCCCTTCTCCCTTATAACCACTGAATACAACTATTTATTAATTTATTAATATTTCAAATATTTCTCAGATTAATTGAGTCAATAATATGAGTGAGTGGACACTGTGAAGTTTACTGAGTTTAGCTCCAAATATTGTCCTCACCTATGCACCCTTATGCCCAGACTATCCCACTATCGAGGGTGGCCATTCGGTACAACTATAAACACTATTGTCTTTGGACGTGACTTGGACACACAGCAAGAAGAAAGTAAGATGGAAATGAGGGAATGGAGGAAGAAAAAAGAGAAAAAGGAATGCATACAAATAAGCAGTTATAAGGAAAGCCAATAAGGAGGGTGTGTGGGTTATACAAAGGTTTGATTGGGCTCCTCAGGCTGGTACATATTTCTGACCTCAGAGTCTGCACATCCCCTTTCTCAGTAAACACACACACACACACACACACACACACACACATTTTCACATACTTGTGAATATACGGGCTTTCAGGCACAGATAGACTCACTTATCCACTTATGATTTCATGGCATGAGAATCATAATATAATTACATAATGGCATGTGTTATAAGAATTCCCTTGTTGCACCCTCTATAACCTTGTAAAGCAGGTAATTCAGACGTTGGGCATGTTTTTCTACTTGATATGTTTCTGAAGCATCTCATTCTCTCTCTCTGTCTGTCTAGATCCGATGGGAGAAGAACATCACATTAGGAGAACCTCCGGGGTTCCTCCACTCATGGTGGTGGTGAGTGTTTTTATGTCTAATGATTCAAGTTACATTCCACTTCACACTGTTTTTCTTCATTCCATCACATTATTAATTAAAAAAAATGATCATTCGCACTCCTTCTCCTCCCATTTTAATTCATCTTCATCTCGTTAATTGTCCCCAAAAGCTCTTCTTCAAGTTGTTGTTTGCAAATTGTAATGCACTCGCCTAAAGTTGTCTATTCCGATGACGATAATGGAGTCGCACTTATTGCCTCGATGCTGGATTACCTGCCTCTAAAATGCACTATTATTTTATCTGTCAAGCTTTAATGTTTCCATTTTCTTTTCATGGGTCTCTCCGACTGCCTCTCTGTGTGTTGCAGTGTCTTCTGGGACCTGTACTGTGCGGCTCCAGAGAGAAGAGAGACATGTGAACACTCCAGCGAGGCCAAGGCCTTCCATGACTATGTGAGTCCTCGCTGATTTAGGCTTCCTGGCTCCTTCCTGGCTCAATGGCTCGCTCTGATTAACACAGGCATCTATGATGAGAGATGCGTATGATATTGAAACCCAAAGTGTCAAATATTTGTAAATACAGTACATAAATAAGACACGTTATGAATAATCCATATGCAGTTTTAAGACTCCACCCATTATAATGATGTTTTTGCTTGTCATTTCTAAATGAGCGAAGTTACATGACTTTATCTGCCTTTTAATTCTTGATTGACTGACAAAGACTTTGTGATAATAAGAAATATGAGAAAAGATGTTCTTTGGGGAAAATTGCGTTGTGAAATAAAAGCAGATTTTGTAAATTACATTCTGATATAAAAGCTGAAATAAATATCACCTGCAGTCATTGTGATTATACAGTAAGCAGGATAAATAATAGGACAGAAACTAAAATTATTTCACAATTCCATATTGTCTGCATACAGTCATAGATAATTTCTTATTTTTTGATAGTCAGACTTTTTTGATAGTTAAAATGAATGAAGAGATGTGTTCAAATTCGTGTTAATATGCTTAACACCTTACTCCAGTGTCTCTTCCTACTTCCTAGTGGGGTTTTTTCACACTTTGAAATATTATGGCTTACCACTGTAGATCATGCAAAGGATATTATGGATGATGGCAATGTCAACGAGTGGGTTGCTGCTGCTTTTTTAAATTTTTTTTATTACAATAATATGTCGACAAGTGCAAAAAAAACAGCTGAGGATTTAGAGCTGATGTCAAAGGTGAATGTTCTAATGTTGGGGCAATTATAGGGCATAAGGTGGAGAGTTAAGAGGATTCACCAACCTTCATCAGTTTCTACCATCTGATCCCAGAACAACTGTTTGGATAGCATATGGCTGCAACGTGTCTTCACAACCTCGAAAAATGTTTGTTTTTCGTTGGGACTCTTTCTTCTGAAGTAGTGTTTAATTAGATGCTTTGCTGTGATGTTGAAAGTGATGAATGATTGTTGAGAACACACTGCTTAAAGTTTGTAGTAGCTGCTGTAATCTAGCAGAGCACAGCAGCTCTACGTTGCACACGCACAAACACACATATCCGGCTGAAGTATTGTGAGCACTTTACGCTGAAGAGCAGACTGGGCAGGCAGACAGTGGCCCGTGTGTTGGAAACATTGTTTATTGCTGTGTTTTCTCAGTGTGGCTCCACTTCACTGCTGTAATTTCCGCACATCGAGGCATTGGTTTATTCAGTCATGCAGAATCCAGTAACCGGAATACAGTGAGCAGTGTGCCAGAGCTCCTGAAGTTTTACATTTGCTGCTGACTAAGAGAGATGAAGTGCGTCTCTCCTCGCGGGATGTTGCGAGATGAAGGAGTTGCGAGATGAAGGGGGACGAAGGAGTGGAGGGGTCTTCTCGCTCCTTCTTTTTATGTTGTTGTTTTCCCTCTGTAGCCTGAAGTCTGACTCATCAGATTTGTCTGTACTGTGGTTTATTGAGATGTATTGTTGGAAGTGCACAGGTCAGGGGTTTCTGCCTACCCCAGCAGGATCGTCCGTCCTCTCCCTCTCCCTCTCTGTGGTTGTCTCCGTCTTTCCTTTAGGCTTGCAATCCCGTGGAACCGGTGGGGGCTGTCTTCTCTTTTATCTTCTCGCAGTAGGTGTATGTGCTTGTGTAAATGCGATCCCATACGCAGGTGATGCAGCTGATGCCGGCGATGATGATCAGGATGATGAATAGGCACTCCAAGGCCGAGGCAGCTATGTGATGATCTCATCCTGGCTGCGAGGAAGGGAGCTGGAGGGCAGCACGACCTCAGCCCTCGGAGACAGCCAGAGAGGAGAAAAACAGGGAAACATTAAATAGTTAGGCAGAGAGAATGAGTCAAAAAGAGGGACAAAAGACAGACTCTTTTGATGAATTAATTCATTTATTTTGCCACCAAAAAGCAAAACACGTTTAGAGTAATTGTAATCGAATTCGAAATGACAGAAACAGTTTGATGTTGTTTCTTCTTATCTGATGAGAATCAGTTAAATTCCGGAATCGTTCAGAATCTTAACGTTAATAGCAGAGGCCATCTTATTCTTACATTTCCTGCAGGGTTGTAATCAGAGAATTATAATTAGACCAATTGTAATTAGACCAAGGTCACTTTCAATCAACTGCTCCAATGCTGCGTTGATTCTCAGATCCAATCAGAGGTACTACCCACATATCCGCCGCTCAATTAAAACCAAATGAGGGGACAACCGCGGTGGCCGTCGCTGGAGAAAAGTAGCACACCTTAATTTGATGCTGGTGTCTCTCTTTCAGTCTCCAGACTTTGAGACTGGCAGATTATAATCAGACATTTTGATGGTAATTATTTTCAGATAGCTAATTACTGAGTGAAGTCCTAATTAATGCTGGGGTGATGTAGGGGCTCATTCACATCATCTTTGGGTCCCTTCCCTTTATTAATTGATGGGATTGTGACGAGGCTTTTGACTTGATCTGCACAATTATCCCAGTTTGAACTACCTACTGTAGATACCATTGGCTTTGGGTAGATCTGATTTAAAGAAACTGTCTTGATTTTTTTTCTCTTCTGTCTTTATATGTGCCTGAAGTTTTGCATGTGGTTGTGTACTGTACAATATATATATATCACCTGTCATATCACCAGATTTGAGTGTGTGAGGATTGTCTTTTAGGACATTAAGTGATCGAATGTTAAAAGGGAAAGAAAGAAAAGACTGATGAACAAAGTGAAGAGAGATGCAATGTTATTGATTTCCGTCCTCAGACGAGGCTTTTCAGGCATCAGAAAGGCTGTTTAGAGTTCTGTTAAGTGCTTTGTAAATTGTGTTCTTGACACTAAATGAGCGGTTTCCATTTGCAACGGGCCATGAAGTCATAAAAACAAGTTATTTTTAAATTTGTATGCTTGGCCCGGAAATTGCCTTATTAGAGACAAAAGTCAGTTGCTGTTGCGTTTCTGTCTCTGAAGAATAAGACATCAATCCATGTGGGTCATTTCAGGCTTCTATCTTTTGCTTTCTTGTTGAGGGTTTGAAAGTTGACAGCTGTCACATAGCTGTAACATTGTACTGTATATGGTGGCATATACACTAACATGAATCATAGACTGTATGCAAGAAGTGTACATAGTCAGCGTGACGTCGATTATTGGGTTTGTGGACTGCCGTTTGAAAATCTTGATTTTGCCGTTTTGGTCGTCGCCATCTTGGCTTTTTGTAACCAAAAGTGACACGAGTTGGAGGTTGGAGCTAAGTACAACCAAACGCTGAATAAGACATTTTCAGGCAACAATAAACTTTCATGAAAAAAAAGCACACTGAAAGGATTAAATATGATGTATTGCCGAAGACTAGAGATTGAGACCATCAACTCATGTTCACGGTGTTTACTGAGGTAATAAATCAAGTGAAGTAGGGTTATTTTCTCATAGACTTATATACAATCAGAGTTCTTTTCGCAACCAGAGCAGTCGCCCCGTGCTGGTTATTAGAAATGAATGCTTTCACTACTGACACCAAACTTTTATCGCATCTAATTGCTGTGAACTTTAACATAATGTGGGCAAATTAAAGCGCAACGAGAAAGAATTGAGTTCGCTTTAAATTGCTCGTACGAGCCGTGGAAACAACATTGAGCACATAAGCAGCATTTCTTCTACTACATTATGACATTTAGACCCTTTAAAATGTTTGCTGGACTGAAAATTGAATTACAAACGTCTCCATAAAATATGTGTTAAGTGCATTGGTGCGTGATTGTGTGTGGCGCTTTGAGTTTGCAGAATAATTATACAGTTACACTATTGAATTTGCCTCAGTGGATTATTCTTATAACTCTGGAAGAGACAGTCTAGAGGTTAGAGAAGCAGACTGGTTGTAGAAGGGCTGATGAGTTAGAAACATTTGGGTTTGGAAGAACGGATGAAAAAAAACACTCAATATCTCACTCCTTATTTCAGGAGATTATCAGTGTCCAACACGTACTGGCTGTGCTGTGCAGCCTCCAGATAAGAATGTGCTTATTAACCGAAGCAAGTAGGTTGAAACATGAGTCCTCCCGGATGAATCGTGGGTTTTTGTAAAAAAAAAGAAAAAAAAAAAAAAAGAAGGGGATTATTGTGAATGAAAATATGCGGTGAACTGAAATTTGCAGGTGGTCAGTCTTTTGTAATACCATTACCATTATCACACTGTTTGGACTTTTAGCTTCAGGTTTGTCTCATGAATATAAATGAGAAAAACCCAAAAAACAAGAGTATTGATGATATTCAGTCAACTAGAAGACAAGTAGACACATATTAGGGAACCAGGCCACATGTGCAGAATCAGCCGGGCATGCAGCCTCGCAGGGTGACAGACGAAACATGCAATTTCATCTTATTTTGAGTTTGATAAATTTAAATATGCCAGTGGTATCAGGCAATTTAATTTAATCCAATGAAAATCAAGTTTTTACTGCAAATTTTTAGCACAGTGACGGGTCTTGATTTTAATTTTTCAATCATTTGATTCAAAAAATTTCAGAATAAAGTGAAAAGCAATAGACACATATGTGTTTTCTTAAGTTTTCTGAAGTTATTAAGCTCTCTCAGCTACAGTAGAAAAATGCTTATCACAAACACAAACATCTTGATTTGTGTGACAAACTGTCCAAAACCTCCGAAATACAAAATGTACTAGGACATACAAGAAAGTAGCTCAGAAACTGAAAATAAGGAGTGTATGACATATATGCTTGAGAAACTACTGAAGCGAATAATCGACATTTTCTGTCGATCGACTAATGGATTGATAAACAAATTGTTTCTGCTGTACTTGTGACCCCTCACATGTTGTGGGTAAGTTGTGAGGAGTTTTTGTTTATATATCCGTTTTATTTCTTTAACACTGTCGTGATCCCTTAACGGAGACATTTTGGGGGCCCCCCCACTGACAGATTGGCAAAAATCGTTAAAACTGCAATGAAAGTTAGTGTCACT